AAGAGAGACACAAATGTGTAGCTACACACTTGAGAAATTACACACACCACAATGGCATTTGTTTGTGGAAATGCTCGCATTACGATTTGATTTGGCGACGATGCAGGACATGTTGTGACTCGATATAAAATACAAATCGTACTACGATTTTTCTGATGAATTTTTCAGCAATTCGTAGTAAATCAATCGTCACATTTTTATCACAACTTCACGCAATAACAAGAATGTGCGTCTTACTATGGAACGCCATGCGAAATTGCTATAAAAAAATTATATAGAAAATATTTTGATACTGAGAGAATAAACAACAGTCGATCGAAATGTAATGAATGTATGGTGTGGTGTGCACTCGCACGCCGGAGAAAGAGCGAACATGTTTGTGTTTTGTAAATCGCCAATTATTCACTTCAATGTATTTTAATGGCTGTGTCGAACAGTATCAGCGTAGAATGACAATTTCAAAATGCTCCATTCTCATGTGTGTGAGAAAAAAAAATACTTGAGCGATAATCAATTGAAATTGTTGCGGTAGACAATTTTATGTGTGTTTTTATTCTTATTTAAAGAGCATTGCTTGAATTCCGCGACGAATTCACTCATTATGGACCATTTTTCTACGATAATTTTGGAATCTACAAAATGTTTGATAATCAAGTAATAGCCCCAAAAAAACGCTTGATTTTTGAGTAGTTTTATTATGTTTTTATGGTCGCACAAATGATATTTAATTTGCTTGGATGCGCTCGATTCAGGAATGAACTACTTCAAAATAAATGGCATATTAAAATGTGTTCCATAAATTGCGATTCATCACGCGATTTTTGGTCTCAATTTCATTCCAACAGTCTTTGTATTTGCTCACTGGCTATTCGAATTCAAAATTAAGTTTGAAATTTTGTAATGTGTCAATGGATCAGAGGTCTAAATGAATACGAAACCAAAGCCAAATTATATAAATTCATGTAATTAATGTGGCCTCCGACCAAACCTAAAACAATTTTTCTTTGAAATTGTCAGTGAGAAGATTAATTTCAATTTTATTGAAATCATTCTAAAGCACCTAACCAAATCCATCGGTTGTTTGATATTGTTCATGCTGCTTGTGACACCGATTTGGCGTGTCTCATCGAATTGAAAGAGAAAGGAATAAGACAGGCATCAAAACGATTCAAGATGATTTTTGTACGTGAGTATGCAGAATTTTACAATTCGCGTCGTTCTCTACGTTACCCATTTCGTGCATGTCTGGTTGTTGTCGTCGTCGCCATCGTTATCGACGTGCTTCAAATATGAATTTCAAGAGAGCGACCAGCAGCAAGCAAAAAAAAAATGGTTTCGATATTTTTATTTAGTTGTTTGAAATACAAACCTGTTAAACCAGATTCGGTGATTGATGGTCTGGCGATAGATAAAAAGAAATAAAATGTTAGTTAGCTTAAAGTCTGCAAATGAGTTTTTAGCCGGTTGCAGATTTTTGTTTTGCCAGCCATCGTCCATCGAATGTTTAAAATGAAAAGAATGAATACATTTTAGAATGTTGCCGCTTCAAGATAGTAAAGTTAATTTTTGGTTTTCCATTTTCGGATAAAAAATGAACTATGAACTTTGCATCCATCTTCATGCTTACAACGAGTTCAAAATTTTACCTAAATCCATTACAACAACTGAAACAGCAACGACGACGAAACAATTCGAGATAATGACTAAGATAAACCTATACGGGCATTATGAAACCAATGTATACATTGATACTGAAATACATTTTTGGGTTCATTTCTACCAAAAAACGTGGCTCTGAATCAAGCCAATTGACAAGTTGGCTGTCTTATCATTTCAGAAGGGTGAATCGTTCATAATCCTTGTTTCAATAAAACTTCTCTCATCAAATAATTTATGGGCCATCGTAAAAATTGCTCATTTCATTGGTTTCTCCGCGACACGCAATTTGAATACATACACAAACACACAGAAAGAAAGAAACATTGAACAAATGTTTCAGCTACAATACAGTGCCTGAGCCAAGAGCGTATGTTCGATCGATCAGCTGATTCGTACACAAAGAGCAGCCGACGAAACACACAGAGAAAAGAAATTGAAACCAAGTCTTTATTAATACTACATAGATCGTGCGTTTCCAGCGTTTAAATATATCTTTGTTGCTAATTGCTGTTTTGAATATGTACGAATTCGTTAATTCGCAATTAAAATGCATGAAGAAATATGACAATTTTATTTATCGTTTCAATTCGCTATTCTTGAAGACTTCGGATTGCTATATTCAAAACCGAGAGACAATGTTATTCCGATTTAGAATCGCCCGAGCGACAGAGCGGGCCAAAGAGAACAACTGACTTAATTTGAGATGAAAAAATTGCATGAAAATTGTATGAAATTAGCACATGATTGTTTCAGCTGCATGACATGAAAAATAAGCATTTTTTTTCGCCTCGTCGAATTGCTACCGCATCGGAATATCTCCAACTCTAAACGATACGATTTTTTGCATTCAGAATTTAAAAACACAAACAAAACATTGAAAAAAAAAGCGTTGTTGTACGCTGTAATCGCCAATTTGATTGGAAATGCGAAACATTGACTGTGAATCGTTTTTTGATAGGCCAATTTCCCACTGAACTTCTGCTATCAATTTGAACTTATCTATTACTTCGGTGGACGTCATCAGCACCCAACGATTACGACAAGAAAAAAATACGTGCAAACAACGACCAATCGAAAAAATGTCGTTTCTTCATTCTAAATCAATCACTCGTGTTTTTACCAAAATTGTGGCATGTTTTCAAACAAAATGATATAGTTCATGCCAATAATAATGATACAGTACGCTCTTCAAAGTTCACATCATGTTCTAATCTCGTATGCCCTTTTCGTTTGTTTTTCGATTTAAAAATAGATGAGTTTGTGATGAATATGTTGTGTCTTTTTTATTAATGCGTTTTTAATTCAACGCATCAAACTGGATTGAACTCAAAGGGGAAACAGTTCCCATGTCATTTGTCGCATGAAATATGACCGAAGTTTTTCTCCACTTGTGGAATTTCTGCGGCGTCATTTTGCAATATTCATGGGCCAGACATTTCTGGTTTAATAAAAGTCATAGCTTTTTTTATCAATTCGATAAAAGGGCATTCATTAAATTTCATCTTTGGTTGCAATTTATGGCACAAACAAATTATATTGCATTGACTTTATGACTTTTTACTTGAATTTCAACTTGAGCGAGACTTGACTGTACTTTCTTGCAACCACGTAATTCAGTTAGCGATTTGAACAAAAAAAAACTTTGTTTACAACTGATTTACAACTGAGCCTTGCAAAAAAAAGCTATTGTTTTCATGAGCTGCCTCCGTGAAGAATGTACCAGGGCATCATTATACATCTTGTTCTGTTCTCAATGAACAATCTGCCGATAACATTCGAATCAAATCAAGTTCAAGTGTGCTCAAGAAAAAAACGGGAATAAGCGAAGAAAAAAAAGAGTTTGGCGATCAGATTTGCGGAATGTTCCATTGCCATAACGACTCCAACGAAGGTTGCATTTTAGAAAACCTCCAGCAACGAATTATCTTTGGCATTTCCGTTTTCATTTCGTAATTCGTATAAAAAATACCGATTCTTTGGCCGTTTTCAGTCTGGAAGTTTAAAAATGATTGAGTGTTAGAAAAAAATAAATGATGATAATTGAGCTATAATCAAGAGATAGAGAATTACTACATATTGGGAGTGAAGAACATTTTCGTCTATGAAAGTAAAAGCACTTTGGATTATATAATCAATCGGTGCACGTGTCTTCGATCGCGTGTAATCTCATTTAAAAAAAAACAACTTGCTATTCATACGAAGAAAACTTGATTTTTTTAAATATGCAGAACAGATTATTGTCGTATATAACGGTTCTTTTCAACTCCTGAATCAACCGAAATACAATGTTTAATTTTGCGAATATTTGTTTTCCGTTATCTAAGCAACATCATCTCCACATACGTGGCTAAACTAATTATTGCTTTCGATTTTATCCGGGCTTCGTGTGTAGGCTTCGAAAGCTACCGTTATTCCGAACCGCTCAATTTCATCACTTTCTCGGTATTTGAATAGTACTTTGGATGTTCTGAAGTACTTCATCAAGAGAATGATTGATTATTCTCAATCATTTAGAGAGACAAGTGTGTTAGGTGTAAACATGTGAATTCCATCGAAGATAAAGTGTTTTCAGCATTGACGCGCCTAATCATAATAACAATGACGATGAGTGAGAGCGACCAAGGATTCGAGCTTCCTTTTGCGTGCTCGTAATTGTTCTCATATTGTTTATGTTTTTCAATTAAAATGTTTGTTTGCATGATGCGTGATCGCATGCCGTGGGATTTGGCATTTTGTAAACAATTCAATTGTGTTTGAACTGGTTTTAAAAGGGCACAATTAAAATTGAAAAAAAACAGTTTGTTTGTTTTTTCGTTCAATTCGTTTGATCTGTGGGTGACTTAAGAGATCGCTTAAACGCAACGATGAATTGGGCGCACATTTGCTGGAAATTATAACATTTTGTAAATCGCCGCATGACGTAATCGCCAGTCATAACTGCGCTATTTATCCGAATGTAAATGCAAATGTTGGAACATTTGGCGAATGACAACACACACTAAACAGCTGAGGAAGCAAGTAATTTTTTTCTAATTTATTTTGTTCTATTAAATAAAACATATTTGCTGTTCAAATTGCGTGTATTTGTCTGTTGTTGCTGTTGCTGTTGTTGCTCTGTTTTTGATTTGTCTGTTTCTCCGCAGAACAAGTTGTTACGCTACCGATATAATTATTGTTCATTCTGAACAAGTTGTAACCATTTTCTAAAAGCAAATTGTGTTGAGAATGACAAAGTATCAAATCGGCTATACCTTTTGTACACTGAGTGCGTGACCTTGGATTCGAATTCCCATTTATTTTTTAAAATTTAATTGCATTTATGTAAATGATAAAAACACATGTTTAACGACAGTCTGAATTCGTTATTAATTCAATGGTTTATTTTTATTTTGTTATATTTGCGTTGAAAATAATTCGACACTTGTAAATTGTGGGAAATCCAACAAAAAAAATGGTTCTTTGCGAAAAAAAAGGTTTTGTATTCAGAAACTTAACTAAGAAACGAAAAAAATATAATCGAAATTCTATGCGGTGTGTTCATTCGTCATCGTCGTCGGCCTTGTTTTTCTTCTTTTTCTTTTTCTTTTTCTTTTCACCGCTTGGTTCGCCGCTGTCTGCTTCGACCGTCACATCCATTTCAGTCTCTTCGGCTTCCTCGGTTTTGACTTTCTTCTTTTTCTTTGGCGGTTCCTCAGCTTCGACTACTGATTCATCGGCGTCCTTATTCTTCTTCTTCTTCTTTTTCTTTTTCTCGCCCTCTTCTTGTGGCTCTTCCTTAACTTCGGCCGGCTCATCGCTGATCTCTTCGATGAGCTTACGCTTCTTACTTTGTCCACTGGTTGTTGGTAATGTGCTGTCTGCTTCTGATGGGTAGCTTAATACTTCCGTCTTCACATGGTATTTCTCTAATTTGGCCTTTGCTTTGCCTGTGCCCGACAAACGTCGCAAATTACCCTCTTCCAATAGATGCAATCGTGTCTCCAATTTGGCCCTGTGTTCAACACCCAATTCATATTGAACATCTTCACCGAATGCATCCAAACGTGTTGCCAACGATGCTTTTGCGGCCAATGAACGTGCCATTTTTCCTTTGTTCTTCAAACTAGCCGAACCAATCAATTGAGCGTGGTAGATTAGACCATATTTCGGTGTGTCCTTTTTCGTTTTCAATGCACGAAACAACGCTTTCTCCGCACCTGTCGATTCAAACAAAAGGAATGACATTAGAGTATCTTTTTGCTGCATTAATATTTAACGGCGTTCATTCGATGAAATTAATTGCATTCATTCGAACATCATCAGACAGCCAAGGTCATATAATCAAAACAAATTATGACTGTGTCACATTTGGATTTCATTCAAAAATTATTTTAAGCGAAACCAGACCTGTGAATCATCACTTGAGACGTGAATCGTAAAACCTTTTTTTTATTGCTAAAATAAAATCAAGAGAGAACGTTGGAAATATTTGGTTATTTTTATTGCTTACCTAAGATTTGAACCGTTGAGGCTGGCTGTTTGGCCAAATTGACGAGTGATCCGGAATGAGCAATCAATCGTGCGCCAATTGTTTCACCAACCAAAACTGTGAGATTTGGTGCCATGGCCAACATACGCGCTTTCAAGTAGTCAGACAAATGTGTACGGTATTCGTTGATTGATATGATTTCATCGCAAAGCGATTGAATGTTCAAAATATCCTCTTCGGAGATTTCTGTTCCCATCGAAATTTCGGCGGCTTCCTTGACCTTCTCTTCGACATCTTCTGGCAAAATGTCCGATAAATCGGTGGTGGCCATGTGATCACGTGTGCCGACCAGTTTAATCGTTCTCACGAATGCAATATTGTCGGTGATCAATTTGCTGAGTTCGGGAAAATGCCAACCATACCTGTTTACCGTGAAAATCATACGGAAATCAGATAGAAAAACCTTGAATTAGTTGATTTAGTAGTAAATATTGAGTAGAATGAGAATCGGAAGCTTCCATCAGACAGCCAAGAGAAATATGGTTTCAATCACGAATAAATCAGTCTTTATTAGCGAAACCAAGGTTTGGGTGATCATCATTTGAAAGCGTTTTTTTGTTTGTTTGTTTCAGAGACTCAATTAAATGGTGATAAAAAAATGAAATAAATGATTTTTATTCTAATGATTTGGGACGGAAATTGCTTACCATTCACGGGCTCTCATCAAGTAGTTGTTGAGTTCCTTGTCGAGATCGTCGAGCAAACACTGTGCCTGCACGATCATTGTGTCGATTTTGTCGGGCGAGAATTTGAGTTTATAACGTGACAACGAGTGAGCCAAACCCAAAGCCATGGCGGTCATCTCCTTCTTTGGTAGACCGGCCAATAGACTTTCGCTCTGTGATCGGATGCAACGCAACAACTCTTGTACACCGCTGTTCGATACACACTGCAAATCCAGTTTATCCTTGATGGCATTACCAAGTTTGGCATCGGCCACCAACAATTCATTTTGAACATCTTCGACGATGAGCTTCTTCAACGTTTTTTTCAACGTTTTCGATACTTTTCCTTCGACCGTAGCCGTTGCTGCGGCCAAAGCCTCAGTTGTGTCGGCAAACTTTTGGAAATGTTTGAGTTTCACACTGAAAATTCAAAAGACAAAACAGTCATTTAGCAAACTTGTGCTTGGTACACGATGCACATGGGCATGTGATAAACGAGATGTAAGCAGGTACAAAGAAAAAATGCAAACTTTGCCAACATTTTCTTAGTCTATGTATGCTCGTTCAACTTGAATTGAAAAATGCTCTACGACAAAATCTCTTAAAACTTTCCCGAACATTGACTACGATTCGGTAAAGGGAACGAGTGTCGCATCGAAAAAAAGCAACAACCATCCGATAATACTTACATTTTGTTGGCCTTTTCTGGCGTCTCAAACTCCAAATAAAGATTATCGACTTGATTCAACTTTTTATCGTCCAATAGCTACGAATGAAAATGAAATCCCAGATTAAAATCATGAAATCGAGTGATGATGTTCAAACAAAAATGCTCCACATGTTTTGTCTAATGAGTCGCACGTGTATCAACATAACCCTACTTTAACATTTAAATGTAACAAAAAGTGGTTCTTACCTTGAAAATGGCATAACCTGCCGGTGTTTCGTATAAAACAAACATTTTTCCTAATTTTGTGAATCAATTTGTGCTTTTCCTGAGATTTTTTTTTTCGATTTTCCCTTGTGAATAAAATGCTATCAGTTGAATATTCTCGGTCGGACTATCGGTACTCACGATGCAACACATGTGCGTATGTTGTGAACCGTACGGAAATGAACGCAAGCTACTGACACAAGTGATTAGCAGAATGACAGCTCCGATGAATCGTTAAAATGAATACTTGCCACAACGGATTGTTTTTTTTTGGTGTTGCCACCTTGAATAATACTTCGCCAGTTTTTGGCATTTTATTTGCTCGAAAAATGTGTTTGTAATTTCATATTTTTCCATTTTGAAATTAATTTAAAGAGTAAAATAAATGCTAGAATTCAATTTCATTGCAAGCAAAAAATTCATTTCTAAAATTGAACGTATTGGTGTAAATAAAAATGATTTAAACGAGAAACCGATTCAAACTACATGCAGCCACACTCAAGGTGAAATACGAAAGTACGATTGAGTTGATTGTAGTGTCAAAACTGTCAATGTTATTGAGATATGCGTGTGAGTAATAGAAACACCAGTTAACCAATATTTGGCAAGCACAGAAAATAAAACACACTGAAAGAAAAGAGAAGTGAAGAAAAAAAAATATACAAAGTGTCGAGGGGTAACCAGTGAATGAGAACTACACATATGCACTTTATGTAAGCCGTGATTGTTTTTATAATTCATTTTGATTCGAATCGATATATTTAAAATTTGGATTGTTGTTATCGTTGTTTGAAGTGTGTATGTCTTCATATGTGTGTTAGAAAATGTCATATGAAGAAAACTAGCAAATCCATCGAAAGGTGAAGACGGTGTTATTGTTTTCTCATTTTACAATTCGTTTTCTCTTTATTTTCAGCTGATCCATTTTGTGTGGTGTCACAGAAAATTTGGTGTTACATTTGGTTGGATGTAACTTTGTGAATTGATCGAATTATAAAAATTCTGCGGAAAATTCAATAGCAAAAATGGCTGGATCGTCGCTACGACGTTTAATGGCCGAATATAAACGTAAGTGTTGTGTCTTTTTAGCACATATCGTTTTCCATCACAATAAAAGTGGTCAAGGCCATGAATCGCTTTGGCTTTGATTGGCATGCCAAATGTTCACTTCCTTATTGCGATTATTCTGTTTGTAACTGGTTTCGTCTTTGCAAAACAAAGAATCGCGATTGTTCTTTTTTTTCTTCTTCAATATGTTATTGTGAATTTTCAGAATTGACACTGAATCCACCGGAAGGAATTGTTGCTGGTCCGATTAGCGAAGATAACTTTTTCGAATGGGAAGCATTGATCCAAGGGCCAGAGGGAACGTGCTTTGAAGGTGGCGTTTTTCCAGCTCGTTTGGTTTTCCCACCTGACTATCCGCTGAGCCCGCCCAAAATGAAGTTCACCTGTGAAATGTTCCATCCAAATAGTGAGTGCCACATTTGATGACTGACTTCGTTGTTTTTTGACAAAAGTGGTCGAAACACAGTCAGAAATGGATTTCTAACGAAACACTGTTGGTGAAATGTTTAATAATAATGTGAATTTTACCCTTTTTTCAGTTTTTGCCGATGGTCGAGTGTGCATATCGATTTTGCACGCGCCTGGAGACGATCCCATGGGCTACGAGCTATCGGCCGAACGATGGAGTCCAGTTCAAAGTGTCGAGAAGATTCTATTGAGTGTGGTTTCGATGTTGGCCGAACCAAATGACGAGAGTGGTGCAAATGTCGATGCAGCCATCATGTGGCGCGATAAACGCGATCAATTCAATAAAATAGCCAAAAGTATTGTTAGAAAAACCCTTGGCCTGCCTTCGTAAGATAATTGCTATATCAATGGACACCTCTCAAGCGAACACTAAATTACCGGAAATCAAGTGGCAAAAATATATATACACACACACACAAAAGAAACACACAGATATTTTTATAAACAGCGATTCATTCGTATTCTTAACCCTCTTCTCTGAACCAATTTGATATTTTCTTGAGCCGATTATCAAATCATATCGCTTATTAAATCCCGTTTGAAGTGTGTTTATTTCTGTGGAAACACAAAATCTGAAATGTGAATATTTTAAATGCAAATTCTGTATAGAATGCTATTTACAGGAATTTATTCCAATTGAAGACATCAACAAATCTTAATTTCGTAGTCAAACAAAATGAAATGGAATTTATTTAAATGACTGACGAAAATGTTAGACATTCTTTTACTTTCTAATTTTCTTTGTTTTCTTTTCTTAGATTGTAATAAAATGAAATTTTGAAAATCTTGATTCGGCAGTCTTTTCGTTCAGTCTTTTGTCGGCTTGATTATGTGGATTACTTGGACTTGATATTTTGACTTGTTGCTGGTTTCCAGGTGTCAGAAACTTGCCTCATTTGTTTTATAGGAAATTCTCTATTTCATTTCTAACTATCAACTGTTTATTTCTTTGGAATGGATTGACTTCAAACATTGGTATTCCCTCATCCCCTCATTTCGTTTGATCTACTTGAGATGGTCACGATCTGGTGGTTAAATTTCTAACAATTTTCTTTTTGGCCATTTTGATTTTCATCTTTTTCGGAGCACGATAGCTCAAATGGCAAATGAAGGATTTATTTTGTTGCTAGATGTGAGAGATTTCCATATGTGCATTGTGTCGAATCTCATGCTCAAAATCATTCATAAATACATCAAAAGTCAATTCATCATTATTTGCATCGGTTTATCAAAATAGGTACTATTCACAAAATGCCTAAAATAATAGCTATTCCGGTGTTACAAGTACACTATACTTAATCGGATTACTATTGTGTTTCAATGCAGTTGTTCAAAAAAAGATTCAACAATTTTCACTCAAATTTTCTTTTGATAAAAAAAAGCGATTTGATAGTGAGCATAACTCTCAGCCATTTTATGTGGAGAAGTATCGTGCCGGTTTGCTCATATGTTGAAATGGAGATGGTTAGATATATTTCATTTGTATTTTTACACGTGTGCAGTATGTACTCGTATTACCTATACTACACAGAAAATTGTTTCATTTGATGTAATAAACAACTTTCGATTCTTGTTTTTAAAGTCATGATCAAAACGTTATTCAATAAAAAATTTTATATTCCGAATAGAATTCGATAGAAAACCTCTACTTTCATTCATAGAAAGTTTCTATTAGAAACGCATTTCCGTATTTAGAAAGTTCAAGGTGATAATGGAAAATTTCCAGGCACAAAATTTTCAAGTACAACCGACAGAAATTTGAGATGAATATACACAGTTGATATTGGCCTTTCAATGAAATTAATAATAAAATTCTCCAAATGGTCTTAAGTAAATAATTTCGAAACCAAACACTATTTCAAGGTTTCAGACGGCTGATTCGTGTTTATTCAACCGCAGTATGTTGTTATCATTTGTTCATTTTGTGAATTGATGAGTGCAGCACTTTTGTTGCGATAATGTGAAATCCATATCAAATTTTTCACCAGTTTTTCGGTAATTAACTCTATAGCCCCGTGAGTTGATCCCACGCAACCGAACATACGATCATTATTTAATTGGCCTGAGAAGATGGATATTTCGTTTCCATACATTCACCTCCGTTGATCTCAAGCCATACGTGATCAACTTTCCAATCGCATGCAAATAGTTGCCGTCGAAATGGGAAATAGTGTCGAGGAGATTTATGAGCGCCAAATTTGCCGCACGATTTCAAATGGTTTCTCTGCGCTCAGACCTTCAAGCGGTTCTATGGTGTAATGGTTAGCACTCTGGACTTTGAATC